AGGACAGGAATCTAGATTGAGGTAGGATTAATCTTCTGCAAAGAGACAGGATGGGGAAGAAAAAGCAAGATAACAATTTCTCAGGAAAGAATCTGGATCACAAGCTGAGCATGAGTCAACAGCATTCCTGCTGTGGCAACAAAGGCAAGCACCGTACCAGGGAGTGTTACCTGGCAAACCTTTTCTCAAACAAGAAGTTGCATATTAAGCCAAGAGGGAATAGGCAGACAGACAAAATGAGGTGCCTCCCTGTGTGAGAAGACTATGGAGTTTGCCATGTCAAAGTGAGTTAGGGTGTAGGATGTAAAGGATGCAAAACATCCTTTACACATTTAAGGAAAAACTGAAGAAATTTGTGAAACAGATATCTACTGTGAGTTATTACAGGACGGAAAGAAAATTCTTTGTAATTCCTTGAGTTTCAGATTAGACTTTAGGAGAAATTTCTGATAAAGTATTATTTTATGGTTGTTGGACTCTTAAACTGATAATTTTTAGTTTCAGCAAATATGGATGTTCTTAAACTTTTCATTATATTTTTATGATATCTATGAAATGTGCTTTTAAAATAGTACTCAAAGCATTTATTGCTCCATCAAACTTCTTAGGTATAATACAGTAACTGCCTTTAGAAGCCAAACAGCTGAGAAGTGACATTGCAGCACAATTGTTTTATCCATTTACAAAAATTAAAAAATGCCACCATTTTGTTTCCCTTTACAACTTTTTTTTTTTCCCCATGCAGTTTTATTTAGATTCAGGTTGCTTTGTATTCCATATTGAACCTTAAATATATTTATCACCTGTATCCCCTCTAACATCTTCGAATGAAAAATAATTTTTGTTCCCCTATCCAGTCATTTTGAATGACAAATAAGTTCTTGTTTTCCCTGCAGACAGACTGTCTTTAAGTCACTAATCCACCTTATCAATAACACAGGCGTCTTATCAGAAAATGCTAAATGTTTTAGTTGTCTGAGTTATGCAAACTTCTTTCTCTGGTGTGTCTGCTGTCTAAAAATTGGTATGCAGAGCATGTTTTTTAAACTTCAGTGTAGGATATTTACGGAGTTTCAACCAAACGTGTAGAAATAAATGATTATGGTGAATTGTTGTGTATTTCGTGATTAAGCTGTGTTCACAAAGAACAGCTTCAACAGTTTGATCAAAGACTGTTCTTTAGAGACTGATCACCAGTATATTTTTGGAAATTATTTGCTTTTATTGTGTGGAATTGTTTTAAATGTTTTGAAACTAGATACATAAATGTTTCATTAAATGCTACTATTTTATGACATTGCTTTACTATTCTAAATCCCATATCTATATTAATGACTTTTTCTGTTTCAATAATGTAAGAAAATGGGTATCAAGTTTAGTAAACAAATCCTAAGAGCTCAATAAGAAGCATCAGAAAAAAATTCTACAATTCTCAAGATTGATCCTGTGCAATGAAGATTTATGTCATCTTTATATGCTAAGTTCAAGGTCATTTGCTTCTATGAAATATGTGCTTTTACCTTATTTCCATGCTAACAAAGGTAATCTCTACTGTCCATGTAACAATGGAAATGACACTGCACTGAATAGAAAGAAAATGTTATTGGAGTTATAATATCAGAAATAGTTTTAACTTGCTTAGGACTCGTAGATTTGGGGCTCATTTATACTCTATTTATGTCGCTTTGACGACAGAGATTACCTTTCAGAGGGAAGCAAAAGTAATTTTAAGGTCCATTTAAACCCAAAGTAGGACAGAGTGTCTTCTGAATAAAGATGACACTGTTTATGTTTAAATAACTTAAATTCCATCAGCATCCTCAGTATAAGCAATTCAGAACTCTCTTTCTCCTATTGATATTTGTACATAAAATCCTATTCCCCTAAGAGAACTTGCAGTAAAGTAGGTGTTAGTGCTGAGATTTTTTTTATATATTTTTCCTTGATTATATAATGCCATTTTTACTTTCACTCTTTATTTGGGCCAGACTGTACTTTCCTTATTTTTAACTTTCAATTCCCTTTGTTCTTCTATGATATTTTTAAGAAACCTTTTTTTTATTTTTTTCCAGTTGAGCATATAATGTGGTGTTTCAGAAAAGATCTGAAGGTCTCTGCCTTGGTTCCTTTCTTGCTCACTGCATGCACTTATTATGTAACTTCATAAGCCAGGGTCTTGTGAAGTTTATTTGCCTGGTTTTGCCTAGGAAGGTGTGTGCACTTCTGAGCAGGTGACAGGGCTGAGGGACACTTCCCTTCCTTGCACCAGGGACCCAATCCCAGCCTGTCTCCTGGTTTTCTGAAACAAGCACTTCCCTCCTTTCACTCACACTTGCTGGACTGCCTTCTTTGGCAGCCGTTTTTGCACAAGTTGTCCAGAATTCTGTCTTTCTGTCCCCATGAAAACCCTTTCCACCCCTGCTTTCCACTCCCTTTAAACTGTTTCTAATGACCAGCTATTTCTGCAAGTGTTTCATGCTTTTTGGCATTTTTCAGCTCTCTGAGCTCTGCCTGTCATTCCTTTTCTTATTTTTGTATTTCTTGGCTTTTAATGACTCCATACTCTCCCAGATTTCCCCAAATCTCTGCAGTACCAACTCAGATACACCAACTGGAAATCCTCCTGTTTTGTCCAAGCATCTTGCTGTCCTGTCTTGGTTTCTTTCTTGTTCATTTCACACCTTCCTTGTGAGGTACCTCATCTGTGTATGGATCTGCTTCTAGTTGGGATTTATTTGTTATGCTCTGAGTTATCTCTCAGCTAAATCTGGTATCTTCACTGAGAATACTGTTCAGTACTGTGTTGTAAAATCCATCTGGTCAATTGAAATTATCTGGCTTGTGCTGACATGGCCTGGGAAGGAGCAGAGCACTTGAGCAGGTTTGTTTTAGTCCCATACAAGGCAGTTGGAGCACAGCCTTCCAGTAAGGGAAGTCTCTGCCAGCTCCTGCCTGGGACTGCGGAACTATCTTCCCTCTTTGGATCACTGTGAGACTTCTTGACTGGGGAAAAATACACAATTCATTTTGAAATGCTGATTCTGAATTTTTGGTGACTACTATTAGACCAAAACAGACAGGTCTTGTGATTTTTTTGCTTTCTCTCCAAAGGCATAGCTGTACTTTTTGTTTTCTCTCTCTCATCACAGGAAATTTTCCTATTGTTCTACTTCAGAGTAGTTCTGACTTTTAAATTCATGCTGCTGTAATGACTCAATGTGTCAGCACAGTGCAGCTGACTCCACTGTATGAAGAACTATTTTAAAAAAAAGTGTTCTAAAAATTTGGCATAAAATTATATTTATTTTTAAATATGACATGAATACTTGTATATTCTAATTTTCTTTTGAAGGGGAAATATTCACTTAGTGTATTTGAAAATTATTTACATTTTGTAAAAAGAGAAAAGCACAGATATCTTTGAAGATATTTCTTCCTTTACATATAATAGGTTTTTTATGTGTGAAAAAGAACATTTGTTATTTGTTACTGTAATTGTTCTTCAGTGTCAACTCACCCCATGCAGATTATCATGTCAACACTTCCTGCTTTACCTGGGCAGGGTTTTAAATACTGATTTGTTGCTATTCAAGGCAAACCCTTTAAGCAAAATTTACTGGTTTTTTGTTTTTTCAGGTGAAATGCATGGTGTCACTATCATAGATTTTATTATATATTAGGTTTTAATATTACATTTTCAAGGTTCTAATTCCACAATAGTATTGAAGCCCTGATTGCTTCAAACAGACTCTGTGTAGCTGCGAGAGTCAAGAATAATGGAACCTTTTGGTGACCTGGGATCAATAGCTGCAAACCCATGGAAAGCACAGAGCACTGAAGTGGAATATGTGTCTTTTGAGTTCCTCATGTCTGCATACTGCCCTGAGGCCTTCTTGATTCACTCATAATCCTGGAAAATTTAAATAGGTGTTAGAATTACATAATCCTTTAGCAAATATTCATTTGGTCTAAAAAAAAAGTAAATTATCAAAATTTATAAGAGAAGGAATTTCTCTTTTGAAAAGAAAACTGAAGAACATGGAGTTTGTGCATAGCCATTGGTATCCCCGCCCCCAGAAATTTGGAACTTTGCTTAGTTTTCTAGACATTACAAAGAAAAGAAGTGTTTTCTAACCACTGCTATTATCTTAGGAAATAGGATCAGCTAAGAGTTTTAACAGGATAGAAAAATCAAGAACTAGTTTTTACTGTGCTATTATTCTATAATGTACCACTTATAATTGTACTTCATCTTCAAGCTGTATTTGTGGCTCCTTGTAGAGATATGAAGCAGAAGAGAGGGAAATGGACTTTGACAAGGGAAGCATCTCTCTTCTCCTCAAGAAAAGTTTCTTGGGATTTGTTCAAAAGCCAAGTGAATTAAAAAGTCATATATAGACTGGTAATTGTTTCCCTGAAAATATTTGTATGCTCAGAAATGGAAATGTTTTTAGCAGTTAAGTAAAACATGTAACCAAATTTGGTAATCCTTAAACTGCTATTCAGTCTGGGTTTCAGTGTATATTGGAATTATGAGTAGCTTTCTTACACATTTCAGCTTGTTGTATACAACATATTTTCATCTTAAAACATACACCATTTCTCTCCCTGCTGAATGACTCCAGTAATTACAAAACCATCTGATTGATCTTTTATGTTGTTTACTGGCTTCTTTGGTGAAACAGACAAGCATTTTTTATGACTTCTAAATTATTTTATTATTTTAGGATTCTGTAAGAAAAAGCTGGTTTACTACTTCAGAGGGACCTCATTTAAGCTGATGCCTCAAACTGCACCCTGCATACATTCCTGTCTCTAGATTTTTCAACTGTCCTGTGGTTGCATATAAGTAGTTTGTGTTTCTGGGTTTTTTTTTCAATCTGTTATTTGTGTTTACAAATTATGTCTTCAGCATTGAAGGCTCTGCAGAAAGCCAGGAAGTGTTGATTTTGGCATACATTACATTTCTCCCTCCCTGTGTTTTATTCTTATTGCTCCAGTCAGTGTGCTGAAGCATGACAAGAGCTCCAAGTCAGCAAACTTCCAAGATGTGGAGGATACGTCTGACAGATGTGTCTTGGAAGAGTCTGAGAGTCCAGGTGAGAGGCATTTAAAGACAACTACCAAGTATCAAGTGATAAATCTGACACAGCTTTTGGGTCTGTAAAAAAAGCAGATTGTAATGCTGTTTCCTTTTTAGCAGCTGCAATGTCAAATTAATGGTCACCTCCAGGGGTCACAGTGTGGAGCTGTTATCCTTTCCTCTTTCATCAGGAGTTCAGGTCTGAAAAAGGATAAAGGCTTTATGACCAAAAAGAAAGCTGACACTACTAGTTCATTATAATTACTTTTGGACTATACTGCTTACTTAATATATGTACAATGTCTGACCCTTTGAAGGTAGCGTGAGATTATGAAAAATTAGAAGTACTGTATATACTGCAGCTGAATGCAGCAGTGGACACTCAAACACCGTATCTCTGGAGGAAAGCAAATTGGTGGCATTAAATAGCTTGATTCTTTCCTTTAAATCAGCTCACAATCATTATTTCATTTTAATGACTCTTAACATTGATTCAGCTAAATACAGGAACATCCATAAAGTGCATCCTTTTTGGTAACCGAAAGATTTATCTTCATGTAGTTTCATTATCTTTCTCGTTATGGAACATCTATGAAATTTATTAAATGAATCCCAAAAGGAAACAATTAAATATAAATTGTATCGAGTCACAGCTGATTAAAAACATTCTGTGCGACTAAATACCAAGATCTTTTAAGCAAACTGTGAGCTTGACCCATATACACCACACACATAACCTGCACACAGTCCTCATTAGTGAAAGAGTTAAACATCTTTCTTCACTTGGTATTTTCCTTCCTGTTTTATCTGGTTTCTCTGTACCCTCCTGCATCTTTGTGTGCTGATCCGTGTATCATATTTTTGATTCATCGTCTCTGTGGCCTGTCAGCTTAGTTAAGAGATTTCCAAGTCTTGCAGCCTGTGCTGACAGGGGGCAGCTGCCAACAGTCCCCTGATCCTTCCCCAAGGAACACTGCTGAGATTTAATTTTCAGTCAAAGGGTGCAGTCTGAAATCCATGTCAGGTCCCCTAAGTCATCTCAGAACCCGGATAGGACCCATGTCTGGGGGATTATATTTCAGCACGCTCCACTCTTCCAAGATTCCTTGGGAGTTCAACTACTGTCATATACCTGATTTGAACTACATTCTCTTTTCATCTTTTCCAGAGAAATGAACACCAGTATATGTTACAATAATTGAAACCAATGAATTGTAAATCTCTATTCATTTTAAAACCACATAGACTTGGACTCAATGTTGTCCAGCAGAAACCACCATGAGATTTAGAAAGAAATAGGTAATCTACTCAGAAAGGAGACAGGTTTGACTATCTGTGGTGTTTAGTATCTCCTTAAGAAACCATCTGAAGTAACTTCAACAACAGTTATGGGCTGAATTATGGATTGTCCAAGATTTGATCAGTTTTGAAGTGAGAAAGGATTAAAGCAAGGCGGCACTACAGTGTTCAGGGGAGAATTAATGTACCTTAAAAATAACTAATTTTAACGTTAAATTAATTCTCTCTGGCAAAGTGTGCCTGTTTGGAGGGGAACTTACATAGCCAATTCCTCACTCTGCATATCTGTATGAAGCAATGGAAAGAATAAAAGCCTTTCAGGAGGTGAATATTGACTGGCAAAAATTCATGTTGATAAAGCATCCAAACTTAAAAACTGAGTTCCAGTCGGTCCATCTGACATCATTAAACTAGTAATAAACAATGAATTACTCTGGCTTTTGTTTCTGTCCATTCCTGCATTTTAAGACATCTTGTCTTATAGGTCTGAAAACCTCAGGAGATTTCACTACTGGTCTCACTGCTTTCCACTGAGAATTTGTGGCTTGGTTGTCATGGAGACATCGTATTTCTCCAAGAATTGCTCATATTGATCCGTGGACAGGCGTAAATGGCCAGGCGAATGTGAGGAGTAAAGGGGGTTGGGCAGTACTATAAAATGACCAGAGGTTATGGGTCGGAAATAAGCTCATAGCAAACACTTAGGTAAAGAGAAAGAAACAGTTTCATTTTGTTTCAGGATTTCGTTTTTGCACTTTATGCCATTGTCTTCTTTCACTATAGACTGAAAGAAACTTGTTAGTCACTTGTCATGTCAGATCTTTGGTGCTTGTCCTGACACAGCTGTCAGCCTTCCAGCTCTGTGCAGTTCAGGGACACACAACAAAGAGCTAGGAACATGAATTATTTATTGCTCCTTGTGCGGATGAAATTCTGTGATAAGAAATTAAGACACTTCTGACAGAAGTGCTTGTTTGAAAGGAAAGATTTGGTAACACAATACATTTACTTAAAGCTTACCATTTACTTTTAGTAGCAAACATTGAAACAATAATATGACATTCAGTTGACTATGATTTTCTCAGGTGCTTTACCTTTGAATCATGGAACCTGAGAGTGCTTGGGAGGTCAGCATTTCCTTTGGTGAAATCTGTGACTTAAGAATCTTTCTCACACATATGCAAAGTCTGGGCAAACTTACAAACTTATAAGTTTTTATTAATAAATCTATAGTCTCTTGTGCTTCACTTAAAAGATGTTGTCATAGGTGCAAGAGTGATGTTAAGAAATATATTTTTTTTATTATGTCTTCTGATGAGGAAAAGGTGAAAATATAACAATATACCTGGAAGGAATTCCAACAATTGCTAGAAAGAGTTCTTTATTACTACTTCTACTAGATTCAGGAAGGCTGTAGAGCAGCCATTAACACACCTATCTGTACACTGTGGTTTTTGGTGGTGAACGGTGCAGTCTCTTTCACTGACATTAGAAGGAGCTTTATTTCCAAAGTGATCTTTGTTTTCAAAAATCACATGAAGCTTGCTCTGTTTGTTTTATTTTCCCATTTTCTTTGTCTGCACATGTTCTCACTGCTCTGCGCATTGGCTTCCAGAAATTGTGGGAGGCAGATACTCAAATGAATAGCAGGAATCCATTTGACTACCCAAGACACCAATCCAAGATTTACCTGTGATTTCTTATGTTTAATGTGTGATCTGAACTACTCTCAGATAGGTAATGAAACCCCTCAACCTGCACTTTTCTCTTGGATAATTCACAGTAAACACTTTTCACAAGTGATGGACACAGGTAAATGTCAGACTGTGGTTTCTTGTCTAAATGAAATGGATTTTAGTTTCTCCCTTCATGTGGCTACAGGCTGCCATTATCTGTGATAGTGGTTCCTGTCTATTTTAGGCCCCACACAGAGGAGATGCTGGGCTTCTCTCCCAGATGCCTAATAGTAGGTTTATCACTGCCATTTTTTCCCCACATGCTGAGGACTACTCCTGTTTGACATGCAAAGCCTTGGCTTTTCAAGTTTGTCTCTGCTCTGGCCTTGAACATAATAATCAGATAAGAATTCCAACAGTTTTCTGTAGAACTTGACTTTTAGTCATATCAATCTCCCCTAAAGAATTCACTATCCCATAAAGTGCTTCTTTCTTCAAATAAATATTCCCAGCAGTTTTCCATTTTACTATAAGAATTTTCCACATTTAAGGGAACTGAAAAAGAAGCTGAAAGTGGGTGTCCATGGCTGTGTTAGTTAGACTTCTATGTCTGAGCTATTCACCTGAACTTTCGTGTACAAACAGTGGTGGAAAATTTACACCCTAGATGCAGATCATCTTGTCCAAAGGGAGTTGCTTGAAATGGTTCCTGAGGGGGTTGAAAATGCTCTGAATTTTGTTAGAGGATTTTTCCTACGAGGACTGTAGCAGGACTAAACACAGCTTGAGGTGTCATAGCTTTCATGAGTGGGGCAGTCCCACTAAGGACAGTTCTGCAAGTGCAGCTCCTGTGGGAAAAAGGAATAGATTTGAGCTGAAGTCACAAGAAACCATGTAGACACAGATGCCTCTTCCCTCTTATTTTCCCCAAAAGACTCATTGAAGTAGAGTAGGAAATAGACTATTACTTCACTTGGTAATAGAGGGAAAATGAGCCTCACTAATGGAAGATTGAATTGGAAGCTGTAAATGGAAAGTATAGCGTTTTCCATCTTTTGGATAGAAACCATGTAAATGGTAAAACCTGTGTATGCTTATGGCCTGTAGTGTCAAACAGTCTCTGCCTGGTCCCTTCTGCAGCTCATGATCTCTCCCATCCCTTCATTCCAAAACCATTGCACATAATAAATTTTCTCTCTTCAATCTTTCACTTTTCAGGACAGAATGTAATTCTGGGTGCATAACAGATAATAAGGAAAATCCAAGCAGTTTTCTCAGTCTTGCTTAATTGCTTGTCCTATTTAGAGACCTTGACACAGAAATGGGAAAGGTCTCTGACTGTCCCTGAAATAGTGTGTGAGAGGCAGAACTGCAACAAATAGAAATAAAAATGTATTATTAGTCACACTGTCCTTGAAAATATAGCACTAAAATATGTGACTATCTTGTTATCAGGCAAGTTATAATTACTGCATCAAATATTCACTTACCAGCTCCAAGTTCCATCCACTGAAGAGTGTTTTTAAAATCAGCATTGTTGCTGATTTTATCTATGAACACAGGCAGAATGAAAAAGTAAATATTCAGTACATTTCCAGGTACAAAGCACCCTAGAAAGTAATGATTTTCTGTGTTTGCATGCTCATGAAAAGCAGGAGGCAGTAAATGAGGACTGACCTGGGAATGGGGTGCTGGAGGCTGTTGCTGGTGAGGATGCTGGAGCAAGAAGAAGATGCAATGCAGGGGCAGCCCACTGGTCACAGGCACTCCTGGCTAAGGGACTGTGTATAAAATGTCAGTGCCCAGGAATTATTCCAGAAAGAAGTTCTGGAATTTCCAGCATAGGAATGGCTGAATTTATCATCATTTCACTGCAGTAGGTGTAGTGTCATATCCTATCAGTGTTCTGTGTTACTAGAATCATGACTCATATGTTTTGGTTTGATTTGTGATTTTTTTGTTTGTTTTTGGTTTTGTTTTTTTAATAGCAAATTAAACTGTAGACTCAGAAGACTGCCTAATAGTCATCAAGAAAATGCCTCTCTGTGTCTATGATACAGATAGACAGAAAAGTCACAGATAATACGATAAATTTACAAGATATTCATTAGATGGGAATAAAAGAATGTGTGCTGCTTTCTCAGTGTTCATATAGTCATGAGAGGTGTGGTGGTACCTGTTTGAGCAGTGTTTCTAATGCAAATAATATTTAAAATTCAGGTTGCAAATGTTACCGTGCCTCAAATTAAAAGAAATTATAAATATAAAAATTGGTGATTGAAAGCTTTTCTGTGAAATTCTAAAATACCTTCACAGGATTAAAATAAAATATAACATTACTTCTGTTTACAGCTATTGTAGGATTATTTCTGCTAAGAGAAAATGTATATAATTTGACAATTATTTTTGCAGAGGAAACATTAAACCCTATTAATTCAAAATAGAAATTATCTTTCTGCTGATCCACTGGAGCACTTTCCTTTAAAATGAAAGGAAGAAGCAGAAGTCTGTGCAGGAGAAGAGTTTTGAGGAATGCCATACATTTTATTGAGCTGTTTCAGGTTCCATATTGCTTCCTGTGGTATATGAAATATAATGTGAACAGTCTTCTGAAAGTAGATTTCTGCACTTTTAACACTAACTTTTAACTTTTAACACTAAAATTTTATTCCATTACAAAAATTATAGACTTTGTTACTCTATAAAAACACTGTAAAATAACATATATTTTAGTAACAAAGTTTCAGCTATTACCTCATATTGTAAAATCATTAAACCTCAAATTGTAAATCATTAAGAAATCATGCATTTCTTTTCCAGATGACATGAAGCAACATCCCTGGATATCTAAGGTGTGCTCCTGTAAGGTGTGTTAGAAAAAACCACTGAGATGAAAGAATTAGAAGATGTAGAAGGACTGCCAAGAAATAGGACATATATGGTGTGGTGGATATGAAATGGCTTTTTGTATTTATTATGATATCTTTAACAATTCATTTTCAGAAAAAATAACTTCCATGAGATCAGCTTCTTTTGGCTGGTTTATTGGCTTCAATTCACACTCCCATCACTAATAGATTTACATATATATTTACATAAATTTGAGTAGTTTTAATATAGAAAATATCAACTCTTCATCTTTGGATATCATTCACTTGTTTATGTAGTGATCTTTAGAACTTTGATTGCCATTAAACAATTATATCAATTTTAGTATTGTTTTACATACATAAAATTTAAATTTTTCTCCCTTTTTCCTGATGATTTTTCTTATCAATAGCATTTTAACACTGAGCGAAGCCAAATGCATTTCAAATAATTAGAAAATTTATTTTTACTGAAAATAGAAATTCACAGTTTGAATTAAACATGGAATATTTAGAACTAAAAAACAAAAAGTATTCTGTGCACTGGTTATCAATTTCAATTGATATTATTCTGTGCATTTGTTATCAATTTCCCATTCTGAGAGAATGGGAAATTGATAACAAATCTGGCCATGTCTAGGATGCAAATTTTCCTTTTCTCTAAAAACTGCCATTACCATCATCTGTAGAAATGTAGTACCAGTATGGACTGGAGAAACCCATTGGGGTCCTCTTCTGAAATTATATACTTCATTGAATACCAATTTGTGCTCATTGGGAAAAGCAGCTATACATTTTTTACTTGAGTGCTATGGGTTCATTTTTGCATTTCTTGTGCTGGATGTGTGGAATAATATCATTGATGCATTTATACTTGCACAACACAACTGAGAGCAGAACATGTCTTTAGCTAACATATATCCTCCTCTTAACTTTTGTGGCTGAATGAGAGTTGCAAACATCAAGGAGGTAAAAATAAAATTGTAAATATACCTACAGAACTTAGTAGCCCTACAGGAACCTTGGGGACAGTAGAACAAATTGCAAACAAAGGATGGACCCATCTCCCTCCTTTGCTCCTCTTCCATAAGAACAACCACATCCAGTTGTTGCAGCAGTCTCTTCCATGGACATTAAAAAGTCTGTTCACAACAAGCATCACTGCTTTGCATCAGCATCTGCTCACTTGGGGCAGGATTACAAATCTTTTGAAAACTCTTTCATCTAGATATTTCAAAAATGCATGTGTTCAAGGAGGTCTCATAACTCAAGGAATTGGCATTGCCCATAACACCCACTACTGCTGTAGTAGCAATTACATTTGTGCAACATGATATTTGATTGCTTGTCTTTAATTCTGCAAAGCAGTGCACATCAGCAGCCTGCCGATAGAGCCAGCCCTCTGGAATGGTTTATGCAGTGGTGATCGGTGTTTGGCACATGCTTTTGCGTGCTTTCTGCTAATTATCATTACAGGATCAGTAAGGTAAGGCAGGAACTTTTTTATTAGGTACATTTATTTTCCAGTAAAGCAAATATATTCCCCTTGGCTTCTGGATGTCTTTCAAACAACCAACTTTATAATATGTACTCACAGTGAACTCACTCAGAAAAATCTTTTTGCAACAAAGTGGCAATTTCAGAGCTGAATACACAAACACAGATGAACTTCCTGCAATAATTTCTTAAAAGTCAAACTAAAGAAGCATTTTCTATGAGTGTGGTCTGATGTACCACTGCATTCATGCTTGTGGAGATGGAGTTTACAACAAAGTCCCAAGGCAATTAAGAATATATTTTTCTATTGTGTTACTCTGAAGGAATCCTGTCAAAAGGAATAGTATGCTAATATTTTTGAGTAGTTGTTTAAATTTTATATATATGGTGGAAAATTCATGAATACCTAAACTCCTTGAGGAATTTGGCGCTTTGGTTTAGCTTGGATTGTTTTTCATACAGAAGTCACAGGATCCAGTGATCTGTACAGCTCAAGGTGTGGTTTTGCAGTCAAGGGGATTTCTCCCCACTCCAGCCTCAGGCTTCTGTCTTCTCACTTAGGTTTGCACTACTGCTTGTGTGCCCAGGCTGTGCCAAGGCAAGAACTGGCCTCAGCGCAAAGGCCAGAGGAGGACCAAGCAATCCAGAGTGGAAATGTGGGACAGTTCATACAAAAATTAGCATGAAATTGAAGTTCAGAGTGCTATGTGCAAAGTCTTAGTTAAACATAGCTTTTTGGCTTTCAAATTCTGTAAGCATTTTTTACATTACATATATAATTCATTATATTATTAAAAAAAATAAAAGGCATTTATTGCTTTTAGTATAAGACAAAATCAAAACTTTTCAGCATCTTTTTTATTTGAGGGATTTTGAGTATTCCAAATGATTCATACTTGGTCTGACTGATCATACTGAATGGTCACTGACTTAGATTCCTGTATGGAAACCTCCCTAAAGTTTGAACTGTTCATTTGTCTTCAAATCCAAACATTATATTTTGAAATCTCTTGTGCCATTTACATACTTTGAAATTAATAATTGTAATAAACTGCTTCCATTTTGGGGTTGTATTTTGTGGAGTAATGCACTTCCCTAATCCAGTGAAAGATGTTTTCAAAACACATTGGCATGGGACTTGATGAGATTCAGTGTTTGAAATATAGAGATGCTTTAACAAAACCACTATGCAATGGGACTACAAGCTCCAAACAGTAGCAGATTAGCAAGGGAAATGATTTTGCAAGTCTGATTGAGCTGAAGTGTTGAAAATTCAGAAAAGAAGGAGAGAGTTCAGTGAGCAGCATTACCTCTGCCCAGGATTTTGCTCCTTTTGAAAGAACAAGTTCTCTGAAGGCAGATGGGACAGTGAGCTCCAGCACAAATCCCAGAGTCATTGCCCCAGTGCTGAATAACATTGCACCCACATCCATGATGGGGCATCTGTGAAGACAAAGAACCCTTCTTCTATTGGAGATTTCGGCTGGATTTTGCAGGCCACACTTCTTGGAAGAGAAAAGGATGCAAAGGAAGTTCAAGGACCAGTCTTCCCCATCTTTCTTCCTCATTGAATATGTAGTCTGAACTGCTAGACAAAGATGTTAGCATTACTGTTAGCATTTGAGTTGGGGTATCGTTTGAATTCATAGATCCCCAAACTGAAAATTCATCAATTTTACTTTTGGAGAAGTAGTTCAGAACTGAGATGCAACATAAAATTCATACAATAACCCAATTGTCTTCTTGGGGCCCATGGGAAGTTTGTTTTTCGAATGACACCTGCTGGAAGGTCTAAAGTTTGTCTGAGAGCTGTGCTGTGGGACAGAGGCACTTCACAGCAAGAACACTTTCCCTGTCTTCTGATGGATGTGGCTGTGATGGGTGAGTACAAACAGAGCTGCCAAGGTGAAGCAGTGTGAGTTCCTAAACAATGTCAAAGATTATGAAACCAAGCAAATGTCTGCAATGTTTTTTTAGAGCAAACTGTGCATTTGACAAAATTTCTTAGTGGTACAAGTTCAATTACATTTTTCTTTTTATTTCATGTAATTCAAGAAGATTTAGCTTCAGAATACAGTTATGCTGACTGAATTTACATTGTGCCATGCAAATATAGCAATAAAACCTGGTTTTCTTCCTCTGCAGTACTCTCAATAAGACAGTTGTGAAAAATAGCCTTACTGGAGAAAGTAATATAGTAAGTATATGTTGCTTCATTAAGTACATTAGCCTCCAGTTTTACATCAACTGCAGATTTTCTTTCATTTTAGGGGGGGGGGAGGGGGGGCCGAATTTGAAAACATAATACTCATCAGAAAAATATTAACAGTATTCAAAAATAGTAAAATAGTGATTATTTTCCTTATTTATTCTTAAATTTATCTAAATAATGTATGATCTTTTTGATAATAAGGATGTAGGGAAATCATACATCCTACCCTAAATCACAATGAATTTTCCACACAGAAACTCAGGGCAGTAAAAGATTCTGTTCAGTTTCAGAATTGTATTTTCTATCATCACACTGATCTGCAGACTTACAGCTCTGACCAGTAAATGTAACATACAGATTTTTGTTTGTTTTGGTTTATAGTCTTCCTGCCATGTAGATGGCAGCAGCACTCAAGCCTTGAAATTCACTCCACCTTTTTCTTGAGTTTGTTTGAAAAAACATGTTTGGGAATATTATTGCTGAGATTGAACTGAAAGCCTGATTACTTTAAATATGGATATTAGTTTAGTAACATGTGCCTGTAAAGAAGCTTTTAACTTTGTAATATGAGTGTTTAAAAGACAGTAAGTCACATCTGTCTGTATTAACATAATTGCCACTATTTTTTTTTAACCTGTGTATTAAATTTCTAGAATTTTTCCTACTGCACTAGGTTGCAAGACACACAGGATGTTTTTGAAAGTTCAAAATTTTATTTCCTTGCAGAATGAGCAGCAGCCCTAGCAGGAAAGCTGTTGACTGTGGACATCCTTGTCAAAGAAACAAAGAGGAAGGACAGATAAAGGTAGTGGGATACACAGTGTAGGATTTTGTGCTAGGGGTTCTACTAATTGCAGTGCTTTATAGAAAATATTAATTATCTGGTAAAAAAAATTTTTTTGAAGGTCCAAATATCTTTATCTTTGCCTAGTGTAGAACTGTCTGCACTGACATTTACTTTGGCTAAGTAGAGAGATTTTGAAAGAGAAGCAACAAAACTGAGACTCAGAATCAAAGCTGTCTAGTAGTCTTAGTCTCTGCAGTGTCAGCTGAAACCTCAGGGAGATTTTGTGGGACCATCTCCAGGCCCTCAGAGATAAAAGCAGGTGTTATATGTGTAACTGTGCACAGAGGGAAATCTAGCACAAGAAAGTATAATGATGTTAGTGCCTTGAACTAGAAAATACGGTTTAAATGCTGGGGGCAAACAGCAGTGTTACAGTGAGCTGTCATACCAAGCAGATCAGCACTAGCTCCCTCAATACTTCTAAACCAGTGGCAGCTAAAGAGGGAGATGAAA